ATGAGTTCTCTTCTTCTTGGATATTTCCTTTGGTGTTTAACTTAAGCAATAGACTTAGTTACCTTGACCTCAGTAACAACAAATTACGAGGTGAGATTCCAGTATCCTTGGGGAATATGAGTTTAACTTTTTTAATTTTATCTGGTAACCAACTCACAGGGGAAGTGTCTTGCCCTGCATTATCTTCCTCGTTAGAAGTCTTAGATCTTTCTAATAATACGTTTAATGGTACCATGTCTCAATGCATAGGAAGCCTTTCCAAACTCGAAGTTTTGTTTCTTGGTTCAAACAACTTTGAAGACATAATCACTGAATCCTATTTCTTTAATGTTTCCCAATTACAATTTTTGCAGTTGTCTTACAACCCAGGTATCTCGTTCAATATCAGTTCAGGATGGAATCCTCCTTTTCAAGCGACAAATGTATATTTAGCTGGTTGCAAAGTAGGCCCACATTTTCCCACATGGCTTAGAACACAAACGAGATTAGAGTATCTTGATATCTCTAATGCTGAAATTTCGGACACGTTCCCTGATTGGTTTTGGGAGCTGAGTCCAAAATTATCAGGATTAATTGTATCACATAACAATTTTCAAGGTGTCCTTCCTGATTTGTCGTCGAAGTTCTCCACTTTCGGTACCATAGATCTGAGCTTTAATCATTTTAATGGTTCATTACCAATTTTGCCTCATAATGGATCGGTACTGGATTTGTCGAGTAATGAGTTTTCTGGGTCAATTACCAATTTATGCGGTAAAACTAGTTGCTATTGGGATTTTTTTGACCTCTCGAATAACTTACTGTCTGGACAACTTTCAGATTGTTTTTCAAACCTACCAAATTTGAAATACCTTAATCTGGCGCATAATAATTTCTCTGGAAAGATCCCTTCACTAAAGATCAGGTCATCATTGCACTTACAAAACAACAGTTTCACCGGAGAAATTCCAACATCGTTGAGGAATTGTACTTCCTTGACTTTCATTGATCTTTCACTGAATAAGTTGACTGGTAAAATTATATGGGTGGGAGATGCTTGGACTAAATTGCTCTTTCTGAGTCTCAGGTCCAATGAGTTCTTTGGTAGTATTCCTTCAAATTTGTGTCATCTTGCACACTTACAAGTGTTGGACTTTTCTTTAAACAAGATTTCTGGTGGTATACCAAAATGCCTGAACAATCTCACTGCTATGATTCAAGTGGGTTCTGCGTTTGATAGGTCATTTCTTCTTCAATACAGTGAAGGCTTCGAGAGTGCATTTCTAACATGGAAAGGAAAGGAGGCCGAGTACATAAATACTCTTAATCTGGTGAAACTCATTGATCTTTCATGCAACAATTTAGAAGGTGTTGTTCCTGATGAAATTACCAGTCTTGTAATGCTTGTTGGATTGAACCTTTCAAGAAACAACCTATCTGGATTCCTTCCTACAAATATTGGACAATTAAGGTCTTTGGATTTTCTTGATTTTTCAAGAAACCACTTCTCTGGTGGTATTCCTAATGGCATTTCTCAATTGGATCAACTTGGAGTGTTAGATTGTCATACAATAACTTGTTGGGCAAAATTCCAAAAAGCATTCATTTACAAACTTTCAATGACTCTGCATTTGAGGGAAACCCTGGACTTTGTGGCCTTCCACTTACAAAAGTTTGTCCAGGAGATGAAAATGCTCAAGTCCCGAAGATCAATGAAAATGCTGATGGGATGAAAAACCCAGAGGAGGAGGACGAGCTAATCAATGAAGGATTTTACATCAGTATAGCAGTTGGGTTCGTTTTTGGATTTTGGGGAGTATGTGGAACTTTAATAGTCAATGACTCGTTAAGGATTGCATTTTTCAAGTTGTGGAATTGCGTAATGGATTGGGTGTACATAAAGATAGCCATCAGCAAAATCCGACTTAGAGAAGCATGTCACAAATTTGTAAAATTTTAGCAAGCACGTTATTGTCTACTAGCTAAACTTTTCAATGCCTAGATGTTCTTGTTTTTCAGTTGTACTGGACGTAGTACATATATGTGTGTTAATAATATATGTGTTTTGTGAATCCTTGTAATTGATGAGTTCATTGTTGAATACATAATATTCATCACTTTAGAAACACTAATTTATTAGACAATAATTGCTTAGTTTAGGCAAAATAGAAAGATGAGTTGTTGCTAACTTTTCAGCTCGCTATCATGTATGTGGCCTTATCAGGGATTTGATTAAAGTCACAGAAATAAAACAAATAGTGCCAATTCCTTCAGTTTTTACTACTTACCTTGTGAAACTTACCGAAAATCTATTAGCCAAAGGCTGTGCAATAAATTATGTCTGGTAAAGGCATTAATTAAAAACATAAAGTGCGCCCATTTATATTATGTTTGATAGCCAAAAACACCAGAAAATATGTAACATTTGTACATGGTTTGTCTTGACAGTTGCCTTAACACGAAATAATTGATATTTTACACACAGATGAGATGTTAAAAAGAGAATGGAGAATTTATTTATATTTTATTTGATTGAAGAAATTCTAACCTTATTATATCTTACCACATCACGAGTAGGTAAACTATAATGTAAATTAATATGTTCATATATAGCACAACTGATTACTTATTTGGGAAAAAAACGGTTGGGTACCCAATTATGGTGCATGTTTCAACTTTGTTTGGACCCTATTTTATAAAATTTATTTTTCTCCAAAAATAAAATAGTTTTGCACATCAATTCATAATTTTTTTCCTACTTTTTAATCACATATTCGAAAAAACTCACTTTTCACAAATTTATTCTCAAAAAATGTCTACCAAACATAGGCTTAGTCATCCAACTCAATTCAACTTTTCCAGTTAATCACTTGAAACCATTAAATGTCGTTAAAATTACCTCATGTTGCGAAGGCAAGCGAAATTCAACTTAATCCATCCCCACAATACACGGTTCACTTAATTTTAACAAGGTTTGACGATGGTCTGAATGGTTGACATAACACATAAGACGCGAAAACTGTTGGAAAAAATATTATTTGATTTGAATTGCCTAACTGGTAAGTACGATATATAGATTAAGCGTGTAATTTGGTTCTTAACTTCATAATTATGTGGATAATCTTTTCCAACACCAAAATCCAATAAGGTGATGGGTCAAGTCATCCATTTCTGCTTTATTTTTGATCCAAGAAGTCTGAACCTTTTTCCAAGCCATCATGGATTCATGGTCCATTGGAAAATCTTTTCTGGAAATAAAAAGTAGAGCCTTAAACCACATTTGACAGCCATTTTTTGGGAAGAATAGGTTTTGGAATAGTAATTTTTTGAAAAATATATGATTAAAAAATAAGAAATTTTTTGAATTTACGTAAAAAAAATATTTTATTGTAAGAATGTGTGATTGAAAATGAGTGTGAAAAAGAAAAAAAGAGTTTTGGAAGAAGGATTACCGAACAGGAACTTAGTGACACAGTCATGTTTCTTAATGAACTTAAGCAACTAAAGTTGATATTTGCGACATTAGTCAAGTAATTAGTTCGATGTCATAATTGGGTTGTCACAGATTAAAATTAAACATTCTGTTATTCTGACAATTGGGGGACATTTCTTTTGGAATGCCTTGATTACCTTCAGTAAGAATTTATTTTACCAGATACCCCCCTCCCCCCAGTTTGCTGTTATCTCTTGTCAATTTGAGCCTCTATCCTCAGATAAATTCAGAAGATCTATTAAGCTTATTCTAGTGAAGGACATTAGTGTAATTATACTTTGCCTTCATACCAAAAACGTGATACTCTTGCTCTGCTGTATATATAGAGATATCACTGTAATTTCCATTTCAATTGAATGAAATTCATTTCTCAATTCCTCTCCAGCTTTTCTCCCGCCTTTTCCTTCCTTACTATTTCATTTGGCAATTCATAATTCTCCTCACCTTCACATGGTTTCAGAGCAGAAAATCAACACTTCCGCGCGATGAATGATGATNNNNGCGATGTATGATGATTATGATATTGCCGTGAATATTCAAAATCAGTGCGAACAAGAAAATTCGTCTTGTGATTCTTCAGTTGGAGATATGGCTGGGAAAGATGGAAATTCTCTTATCAATCAATTGGTTACAGATCCTACGAGTCCGTATTACCTTCATTTTGGGGATAATACAGGAATGCAAATCATTTCTGTGATACTTTCAGATGATAATTACTCAACTTGGAGTAGAGCTGTTACTATGGCTCTAAGTGTTAAAAACAAGGAAGGTTTTGTTGACGGAACTATTGGCAAACCAGACAGGGATGATCCTTTGTTCGGTATTTGGAGGAGGTGCAATCATATTGTATCCTCATGGATTATTAACTCAATTCCAAAAGAGCTTTATCCAAGTGTAGTTCATAAGGATTCTGCTAGGGAAGTTTGGATTGAGCTGCGAGACAGATATAGCTAAGGTAATTTCACACGGATCTATGAATTGAAGAAGCAGATTGCTTCGATTTCTCAAGAGAATGGTACGGTCAGTTCATACTTTAACAGATTCAGAGGTCTTTGGAAGGAACTGGACAATCATAGACCTGAAGTTTACAGCACTTGTCACAAACATGAGGATCAAGTCATGCAGTTTTTGATGGGACTTGATGATCAATTTTCTGCTTTCAGGAGTCAAGTGTTGTTAATGGATCCATTACCTTCATTAAACAAGGTATTTGCTCTTATTCTTTAGGATGAAAAACAGAAGGATGTTGTTGCTAAAAGGCAGCAACATTATGAGGTAGCTGCGTTTGCTGGAAAAATGGTAATTAAACCATTTATGAGTCAGAGAAACAACTCGATCATT